TGTGTGTGTGTGTGTGTGTGAGCGTGTGTGTGTGTGTGTGCGTGCGTGCGTGCGTGTGTACCTCTATGTTGGGTCCGATGTATCTGAATAAACAAAACTGTAATAATGTTATAAAACAGAATTTGTTCAAATACTCACCCAGAAAGGCGTTCCGCCGCAAAAACTGTCAGGGTCGCTCATGATGACACACACAGATCCACAGCGCTATTCCAAACACACGCTACAATAATATTAATATTATAGCCCAGAAACCAAACACGCGCGCACAACGAATGCACAAATCCGGCTGGAAGTCCGCCTACCACCAGTTTACCTTCACTGCAGACGGCTGAGAGATGATGTATACCTCCTGCGCTTTTTGGGGCGTAATATTTATTTGTTTTGAAATTGGTTGGCAGGACTTCAGTTTTTCATCACCTCAACAGGGATGGGGTCCGGTCCATTGTTCGTATGCACACACTCTTCAGAGTCGACCTGTGAGAAAGAAAGAAACAAAACAAAATTAAACATCACTATTCATACAACTCGTGAGAGAAAAAAACAAAATCTATTCACATGACCTGTGAGATGATAGAGAGAAAATTCGCGCATTCTGCTAGATAGAACACCCTCACATGACTTGTAAGAAAGAAAAGGAAACTGCTGCTCCTTGGCTCTTTCTTACTGCTGTCTTTCAGCCACACCCCTGATCTTATGGTAGAACAGATCTATACCTAGCCTTCTCGGACAAGGGCGAAAAATCTCGGAGGTCCCGTGTGCAAGTTGTGCACGTTAAAAATATCTGTATATGTATAACCCACTAGCTCATTGCGTTACTCAACAGGTGAATTATGCATAGGGCTCAGGTAACCAGCGGATGTTACTACGAGTAGGAGCTCAAATTTGTATTGGTTTAGTCCAGGATAGCGTTATGTTTGAATAAAGAGAAGCACATCGACGCAATAAAGGTCACTAAGTGCTGGGGAAAAAGTAAGACAGACGGACAGAAACAACAGAGGAAAAGTAAAGAAATAGGACCTACCAGTGACGCCCTCCAACCACCCACCCAGGGTAGAGGGAAGAGGTGTGTGTGTGTGTGTGGGGGGGGGGGTGTGCTAGTAGAGAGTGAACACAAGCTAACACTGTCAATCATATTCATTGCACAATTTGACCGAATTCGACACTCGACTGTGAAAAACAAATGCATTTTATTTCTAAGGTCACAATGAAACACCGTTGAATTCAGTCTATTTCCATCAGAATGGTAGCTTTGATTCCACACTTGAAGGAGAATCTTGCAGGCCCCGACTGAGGCAATTAAATTCAATTGGATACCCCTATCGACACAATTTAGATCAGTTAAGAGGAAGGCTTCCAACCCTGCCAGTCAAGCCCAACCCGAGCTAAGAGGGATACATCCCAGAAGAAAGACCGAAAAACTCGATAATTTTTTCCCCCTGCACGAGAATCGTACTAGCGTCTCAAGCTCCGACAGCACAACGCCTAATACTAGGAGCCCACTACAAGTGGCTCGGTCGCTCAACAAAAACAAACGTGTGTGTTTTCAGTTTCAGGCGACCGAGTCGGGCCCGATCCAGCCGTAGTGGGCACCCCGTATAAACAGTTACTTTACAGACGTCGGTACTTGGTATGATGTTAAGTAACATCGGCATTGCAAATGTGTGTGTGTGTGTGTGTGTATGTGTGTGTGTGTGTTTGTGTGTATATATATGTGTGTGTGTGTATGTGTTTGTGTGTATATGTGTGTGTGTGTGTGTATGTATGTATGTATGTGT